TCTCAAAGCAAATCTGTTCATATTTTGGTGTACAATTCTGGACTTTTCTCCAGTAATCATTTTATTAGCTAAGCATCTTGCACATCCTTTTTATTGTGTACTTATGCCTTTTAAAAAAAAAATCAGTATGGTGATTTAGAATCCCCTGAAGCTGCTAGTGTACAAATTGCAGATGATAAACCTTTGAGCTTCAGCTCTGTTTGTTCCCGAAACATTCCATGACTTGCAATACTTAACATAAGATAACATTTTAAGGTCCCTAAGTATCTTGGGTGAAGTTTTTGCTATAAGCTTAAGGTTGCCATGAATATGTGAAACTTTAGAATAAGCTGTTTGTCTATCAGAGCACACTTTTTCTATTAAAAGCACAAAGTAAATTGTGCATATTTTCAGTATGTGCCATTCCTATCTACTATGGCTTTGACCTTCATATGATTAAATATAAAATTAGATGAGCTTGTTCCCTGATTTTCCTCTGGAGGAATATTAACCACAAGCAGAAAAGAGGAAAATCTCTCATTAACTTTCTAGTGCTCTGCTCAGCTGTGTTTATGCTAAGAAAAAAATAAAAAGATTTGTTTCATGTGAATAGTACAAAATAAGTATTATATTTTAAGCCCTAAACTTGTTTCTATACAGCTGTACCAGGCTTAGTTAGCTCTGTTGATGGATGGCTGGTTTGTTATGCGGAATGATGCCAACACCATGGGTTCAATTCCTGCACTGTCTGAGGTTTCCATGAAGGACTCTACTCCTCAACCCCTCCTCTTGCCTGAGGCCTGGTGATCCTCAGGTTAAATTACTGCCAGTCATTTCTCTATAATGAAAGATCAACCCTATGGTAGGACCATGGCAACGTTACTATATAACAGCAGCATGTAGCGATGGTGAGGGAAGGCAGCTGAAGCAATTCAATAGACCCTTCTTGAGCAAAGAGGACAGATGGAGAGAAGGATCAGACAGGTAAGTGATTTCCTTAGCCAGATATAAACCACAGGCTTAAAGCCATGTAAATACTGTGTTGCGCTTATTTAACTCTAATTTCCCTTCATGTTTGTAATGTCCTGTTAGAGGAATAAAAAATTCCTCCTTCATGTTCTTCAGGCTTTCCACATATTCAGATTCTCATGCTACTTTTCTAGTGTAATCAGCAGGAATCCACTGTACAGACATCATGGTGGGAGATGAGTAGAAGGGCACCAGACAAGGTGGAACAGTTGCAATTGACAATATCTGCAAGGGAAGCTGAAGCAGCTCCAGTATCATCGGAGGCTCAGGTGGAGAGAGTTGGACCTTTAGGCAAAACTCAGGTCCAGGCTCCCTGTGTGCATTCCTTTGACACTGTGGAAAAAGGAAGTGGTACTTGTGGTTGGATATTCTACTTGCTAATGAGAAGGCAGCTAGACAGATTCAGGGGAAGAGCAGAGTGACCTGATAATTCAATGATTAAAGATCGGATTGAGGATATTTGTATCATCCAGGAGCCTTGAAGTGATTGAGCTGGCAGTGTTCAAGACCTGTATTTTGTGAATCCGAGGGATTTAACCAGGGTGGGGAGACCCACTTCTGCTTTGGAAAATGGCACAGGAATGATCTGCTCAGTGGGGGTCACTGAAATAAAAGTGCCACCGATCATATGACAGAGATAGTAGGAACTGCAGATACTGGAGAATCTGAGATAACAAGGTGTAGAGCTGGATGAACACAGCAGGCCAAGCAACATCAGAGGAACAGGAAGGCTGACGTTTTGGGCCTAGACCCTTCTTCAGAAAATCTTTTGTCTGGGAGAGGGAGGTTCTGAGCTGGGGAAGGCTTGATTGTAGTGCCAGGAGATGCCGGCGCATTGCTGCAAGTGTGTGTTTCAGGAGTCGCAGGGAGAAACACTTCTGAAGGGTCTCAATGTTCTGAATGTAGACATTGTCACAGTTGGGGCCAAATTAGGAAGGCCTGAATGTGGACTGTAGTCCATTGGGGATGATCTGGTTCCGTAGGCAGGTACTAAGAAAGGTGATGTGGTTGTAGTACCTGGTTTGCTTCAGGACGTGGTCAAGCAGTTTCAAGGCCAAAGAGATTACGAGAGAGTTGCAGTGGGAGAGGGATCCACTGAGGTTCTTCAGGAGGGAGAAGAGTAACTTCTTCAGGGTAGGCATCCTTAGAAGAGGCTTCGCAGTGGGGTTAAAATTGTTTCAGAGATAGTAGGAACTGCAGATGCTGGAGAATCTGAGATAACAATGTGTAGAGCTGGATGAACACAGCAGGCCAAGCAACATCAGAGGAACAGGAAGGCTGACATTTTGGGCCTAGACCCTTCTTCAGAAAATTTTCAGAAAACATCAGCTTTCCTGCTCCTCTGATGTTGCTTGGCCTGCTGTGTTCATCCAGCTCTACATCTTGTTATCACCAATCATATGACTCCTAGAGACTTGGCTGATCCCAGTGTGGGTTATCCACTACAGAGTATGGATCCCATGGATGGTATCAGTCTAGATAAGAGGCCAAGGAGACCCTTACTCTTTGCCAGATAGGTGACAGAAGATAATTTTTTTCTTAATTCATTCATTGGGTGAGAGTGTCATTGGCCAGGCCAGCATTTATTGCTCATACCTAATTGCCCAAGAGGACAGTTAAGAGTCAACCACATTCCTGTGGGTCTGGTGTCACATGTAGGCCAGACCAGATAAAGACAGCAGATTTCCTTCCCTAAAGGGCATTAGTGAATGCTGCTACTAACGTGGATCCAACCATTCTAGGTTCAATTGAACATGCTAATCATGGAACTGCTTCGCAAACAGTCACTGGGACAGCAAGGTTCAAGCAGTGAAGTGTATAACAGAACCTCCAACAGAAGGTGACGACAGTGAGGGGGAGAGCTGAGCCTTTGAATGGCATGAAGTCATGCAGACTGTTTAATTATATTTTGTATTTCTAAATGCTCTGCTACTACATTCTTTATAATAGACTTTTAACATTTGCCCAATAACAGATATTAAACTAAGTGGTCTATAATTACTAAATAATGTTGTCTCCTTCCTTTTTAAAAGGGGTGCTGCATTGGTAGGTTTTCAATCCTTCAGGATTATCTAAGGATTCTTGGAATATCACTATCAATGCATTCACTACCTCTGTAGCTACTTCCTTTAATAATGTAGGATTTATCCCTTTAGGTCCAGGGGGACTTTTTGCAATTAACACCGTTAGATTTCCTCATACTTTTTTCTCCAGTGAGAGTTATTGTATTTATTTTCCCTTCATCTTAAATAACGTTTCAAAAACAAAACAGTATTTTCTACTGTGAAGACTGATGCAAAGTATTTATTCAACTGTTCTGCCATTTCCTGGTTTCCCATTTTTAATATCTCAGCCTCATTTTCTAAGGGTCTTGTGATCATTTTGACATCCATCTTCCTTTTATATATTTAAAGAAGCTCTTGCTTCCTACCTTGATATTACTTGCAAGTGTGTTCTCAAACAATATTTTCTCCCTTTTTTTGATGTCTTTTTTTTAAAAACACCTTCCTGATTCTCTGGTTTATCTCTAATCTTTGTCATAATGTTTCCGTTTTCTTTCAATTTTATGTTATCTTTAACTTCCCTGGTTAACCACGATCAGCTTATTTTTTCTTCGAATCCTTCTTTCTCACTGGAATATATCTTTGCTGTGAACTGTTTTCTTAAATATCTGCCATTGTTCCTCAACTGTTTTGGTGCTAATCCACTTTCCCAGTCCATAACAGCTTACCCTGCCTTTTCATTTTAATTACCCATATTTAAGGTTAACATAATTGGTTCATACCCAAGTTTCTCATATCAATGTTGAATTCTCATTTCTACCATGTTATGGTCACTATTTTCTATGGGATCTTTTACTCTGCATTCATTTATTTAACCTGTCTCATAAATTATTTGCTGTGGTTACCTCTGAGAATTTGACTTTCCCAATCTATGGTACTATTGCCATTATTGGTTAGTGCATTGAGTATAGGAGTTGGGAGATCATGGTATGCCTGTACAGGACATCATTTAGGCCACTTTTGGAATACTGTGTTCAATTCTAATCTCCCTGCTATAAGAAGGATGTTGTAAAACTTGAAAGCATTCAGAAAAGATTTGCAAGGATGTTGCCAGGTTTGGAGGGTTTGAGCTATAGGGAGAGACTGAATAGGCTGGAGCTATTTTCCCTGGAGCATTGGAGGCTTGACGGGTGACATTATAGAGATATATAAAATCATCAGGGGCATGGATAGGGTGAATAGCCAAGGTCTTTTTCCCAGGATGGGGGAGTCCAAAACTAGACGGCATAGGTTTAAGGTGAGAGGGGAAAGATATAAAAGGAACCTATGGGGCAACTTTTTCATGCAGAATGTGGTGCATGTATGGAGTGAGCAGCCAGAGGAAGTGGTGGAGCCGATTACAATTACAACATTTAAAAGCCAGCTGGATGGGGATATGAATAGGAAGGGTTTAGAGGGATATGGGCCCAATGCTGGCAAATGGGACTAGATTTATTTAGCATATCTGGTTGGCATGGATGACTTGGACCAAAAGGTCTGTTTCCGTGCTGTATATCTCTATGACTCTCTTATATGCATTTTTGATTTACTCTAAAGCTGTGTGGGCATCCAAATTCCTTTCACTGAATTGTAATTAGCATCCCCTTTTGGACATTTGTTTCCAATGACTGCTACTGCACTCTCAAACTAAAAGTTCTCACTACTGCTATAGAAATGTGCATCAAGCGTCACGAAGTTTTGCAAGTTATGTTTGCATGATGAAAATTGAGATTATTCTCCAATTCATAAATAAGAAACCAAGCAATCAAAAGTAAGGCTTCAAATGTCATTTTAAATTAAATATTTACAACACGTTACAGGAATTTCTAACAATGTTGTATTAAGTTATTTAACCTAATAGATAACATATATCAAATACTTAAAAACCACAATAAATTATAAACATTTTAGTCATTTATCACAAAGGTTTAAATATGATTTCCTATCAAAACATTAGGTTCAAAGACTAACATGACGACCATCTTCATTTTTATTCAATGACCAGTTTTTGTAACCACAACTGTTCTGAAACTTTTTAACTCACTATTACTTTTACGGCTAACTTTCCAACCACAGACATTAATTTACTTTCAAACTATCCATGACACAATAAAGTTCTGACTATCCTGAGGAAGCTTTTGTTTTCTGTACGATTACAAGAATTCTGATCATCACTGAATTTCATGGGACTTTCCATCAAAATTATTTCCTTCTAAAATGGGACAAGGTAAGTGGGAAAAGAAATCAAGATGATTCCAATGACATCGACCATTTAATTTTCTTTTCATATTAGCCAGTGTCTTCCAGATTCATCGGGTGACTTGCTGAAAAGGTGCCCATCCTGATTTTGCACTGCAAACCCAGGCCACCAGCTCTGGGATGTAGGTACTGTTGGAGAGATAACCACATCACAAAGACCAAAGTGTCAGATATATGCTTTTCAGGGAGATTAATGAGAGGTGTCAGGCTTTGTGGCCACACCCTTAGGCCTATGTCCAGTCCTTTGATCAAGCACATATCAATGCAGATTAAGGAACACCCCTTTTACCCCTGCTTTTAGACTAACAGCCTACCTGCACATTAGGCAGATCAATTGCTCCCCCCCGCCCTTAGAGCTGTGATAATCAGAGCCCTGATAGGAATAAGCCCTTATGTGGTCCTTAATTAACCACTTAAAGGTCTCAATTGGTGGCAGGGTGTGAAGGTCAGACTTGGGCCTTCAAATCTCCAACTTAATTGAGGTGAAATGGAAAGGTGGCAGGTTTCTGGCACACTGCCATCCTGTCTCCAGGACAGGAAATTTGCCCATGCCAGAGGTCATTGTTCAAAACAATTTTTAAAAAACTCAAATCAAACAATCTTAGAGCGACAGTTATTAGCATGAAACAGAAATTAATCAAAAACTCTTCAACTCAAATGTTAGTTCATCTTCCTGTAAAGAAAAGCAACAGATTGCCTTGTCATGACACACCCATTAGTACATCATAACTACAGATTGTACTTTAATTATTTTGCTGCCATGCTCTCCAGAACATAAGCAATGGCTCTCAAAATGCTAGAATAATAAGAATAACATATAACTGCTAGAATAACATATCCATTTACACAGTTAAAAATTGGGTCTACTAGTGCAGTAAGTAGGATCTGCATATTATTCCTAAAATTAAAGCTAGATTCTAGATTTATAAAATGGGATTATAAGACGATGGCAAAATGTTGATGTGTTTTGAGCAGTGGTCAAAAATGTGGATCTGTTCAGCATTAATATTTATCAATTGATGTTATAGATCTAAAATAGATTACCTTGGAATATGAATTCTATTGCATAATGGCCTAATAATCACATACAATCATGTAATTATTAGACCACACAACCAGCTGACAAAGATAAGGTGCACCTTTTAACATTTTCATAAGTTCTACTGTTTGTAGTCTTTGATGATGCAATCAGATATATGAAGGTGCTGTGGCCTTGCTAAGCTTCAAATAGCTTTTGACTGAGTTAATTCAATAAATCATAGCAGCACCTTTATGCTAGATTTTGTTAAATTTACATTTTTCCAGTTAAATTATACATAACATACATCCTTCTGTTCGCTGTGCCTGGTTGACTGTATCCAGTGGAATGGAATACCTCATTGTATATCAAAATATTGAAAGTACCTTTTTGTCCAGAAACCTACTTAAAAAGTGCTATTTATTGTGTACCATGCAAAAATCATTTACATGCAATCTTCTTCATAAAATTCCCGAATGGTTTATACATTCCTTTAAACAAATTTGGAAAGCTTTCAAAAATGGATGTTTGTGTTTCTGTTATCAAATAGTAATAATTGATGTCAGCCCATTACTGTGCAAGAGCAACACCCAATTTCTAAGTCCTTGACCTGAAACACTAACTCTGTTGCTCTCTCTACAGATACTACCAGATCTGCCGAGTATTCCCACCACCTTTTTATTTCACGTTTTCTAGCTTTCAGCTGTGAGCTTTACAACTCCCCTGACTCAAAAACATTGTCTTCGACACCATTTAAGAATTTTTTTTACTTGAGAAAAAGAATTTCACCTCTATTCTTTGAAGTAAATGTTAATTACACCATCTCTGATCGAGCTTGTCAACTTAGGGACACTTCATTTCCCACTCTACCAATAATTCGTACCTGCTAAAAATTCAGCCGAGAGAAACTTCTCAGGCTTACAATTTTTGGTTTTTTGTACTGTAAGAGATTTTCTACCCATCAATTTGGGCTGCGTTCAAACCAAGACAGTTATCAATGCAGTAAATTAATCTGTGGTGCCAGTCAGTAATTGATGCTTAGCACTGCCAGCTATACATTTTGAAATTGGGGACAATTTCTGTCTATAATAGATGGAAAATTATGGATAGTGTATGGATGATGTTCTGTGTGCTGGGGACTAGAATTCTGTGCCAGGACAGTTAAAGACATGGTACAACATATCATAAAGACAGCGTAAAATTGTAGATAAAAACAGGCATTTTGATACAGTTTAGCAATTCAAGCAGTTAACCCATTTTTCAAGTGTTTTTCACATTTTTCAAGTAACTGCAAAGAGCAATAAAAGAAAACAGTATTATCATAATTTATTAAATCATTCCTGAAATTGTAGTTCAAGAAATCATGGAAAATATCTAATTACAATCTTTAAATAAATTGCCTTCGAATAAAGGCTCTAGGTTGACATCAGAAAATGTACCATCTTGTACCGCAGATTCCAGCCTTTTTGACAAATACTAGCAATTCTCAAAATACATGGGAATGCGACACTGTGTGGCATTCATTAAACAAATTCACTTAACTCATTTTCAGTCTTCATGTTTGCCAAAGTGTTTCTTTCTTACTATAGACTCTCTTCAGTTCTATTTTGATGGGAAGCAATTCTCCCCCAAATAAATGTCTTAAGCATTTCAAAGTCAGTTAAGTATGACTGGTAAGAAGAGATTTCATGGGACATTCACCAGTCTCTACGTTGAGATTGGTTTAATGCTGATTTGAATTCAAATTGAAATGCTAAAAGCATCACTGAAATGGGAAATCTGGGATCTCATAATTATGGCAAAGATCACAATCCATCAAGTTACGCTTCATTAGTGTTTTGTAGAAGAATGTTTCTGTTTACCAATTGTAAAACACGTGGCCGTATAATTTAGTTAGGATGGGAAATCAACACTTATTCTGCATTGGGAAAGAAAATTTCACAAAGGGCAATTGATTTGTTACCACAGTTTGCCCTATCATTTAAGTCATATTTGTACCTTGGTCTGCTCCACAATATATTCACCTCAATTCACTTCAGTAATTGTCTTCTTAAACCATACACAAAAACAGACAATGTCAGAAATATTTAGCAGGTCAAGCAGCATCTGTTGATAAAGAACAGTCTGACAAAAATCAATGGAATTAACTCTCCACTGTTGGTGCCAGGTCAGCAGGGTATTTCTAACATTTTCTGAATTTATTGCAGATAGCCAGCATCCACAGTGTTTTATATTTATACTAAATTACAGAACTGATAAAAATAAATTACATTGTTCAACAAAAGATAACTTTTGAAAGGATATAGTGGACCTCATTTTCAAAGATTTTGTGGTTTTGTACATACATTAACAAAGACATGTGCAGGAATATATTTTCAGTGAATTTCTTGCATCAGTTGAGTCTGGTCATTTTCTGCATTCCCAACTTGACCAGTAAAGCACAATCATTGTAGAATGTTTGGAGAATTCAATCTCCATTCTAATCACTATAATGGCTTGAGACAAAGATGTTTGAATAGAGACTAAGGGGTGATTTGACGAAGGTCTTTAAATTTAATGATAGTATGTACCAAATGGATTTAGGTACAGTGTTTCAAATCAGATTATCTGAAAAACAATGAAGACCAAAAAACAGACTTTTTCTTTTTAAGTTGTCATGCTTGAATCTGAATTATTGTTAGGAATGAAATAAATTGCCAACTTGACTAGATAATCCACTGGCACAGCAATGAGGGAGCAAATTATTAGTTGAGTGTCTGATAGTTGCCTGATTGTCCAAGAGACTGCTCAGCCCACCCTACCTGCTGCAAATTGAATTGCCAAACCCCCAAAATAAAGCAACATTCAAAATCCACCACAACTCTGTCCTGGGATTGCTGGCTTTGAGCCACTTCTTCCCCAAATCTAATCCATCCTCCAATACCCTGCTTCTTTTTCACAGCTTTTTACATCAACTGAGGCAGGGCAGGGGATAGGGCAATGTCATCTGTCACAGAACTCACCTCTTTTGATCTTCAGTGTCTATTGTTTATTGTAAAACATTTGGAGACATCCTACCATTTGCTGAGTACATTGCTGAAATGTAATTTGCTTCTGGTTACCACGATTCATCCAATGTCCATTTTCTACCTGATTTAATTTTGGACTTGGCGATCCCTTTTGTGGGTTTTTCACTGCCCATAAACATGAGTTCTGAAATATTACATATGCCTATTACACCTATTTCTTTAAGGACAGGACATTATATCAGTTTACGAACATCCTTAGCACACCAGGAGGGACAGAATTTATCCACATTTGTTACTGTTTGATTGTCAGCTTGTAGCATATGGAGGTACTCCAACTATCTTGTGGATTTTGTAGAGCCAGTTGTGATTCTGAAGGCTAGATTTTTGTACCATATGAATCCGGAAAGACATTAGAAGCCATTGTCATACAGCTGACTTATGGTTGCTCTCATATTCTTCTTTAATGACATTTGATTGCTGGGATTTCAGGGCAGAATCTATATTTCCTGTCCTTGTATCAGGTCGAGTCCAATGAGCACTTAAATTCAATATTTCTATCACAGAGAGAGACTAGGGTCTGTTACATGTTAGCTTACACCATTCCAGCTTGAATCCAGCCAATGTGTTTTAAATGATTATATATTTGTTGTAAATACCAATTTTGAGATGGTATTGCCAATTTAATTCAATACATGCCAATTTGCAATATAACTGAAACAGCATTAACAAGATTTTGAAAATAAGATCCATTATCCTTAATTTTCCTATATAAATATCCAAGCAGAATTATTCTTTGCTTACAAACCAGGCACAATTCCAAAATACATTTGACAACAGTAAGAGGGCATGCTATCAAAAAGGTAAAACAGATTTTGAGAATGCTGAATCCAAAGTGAGCTATGTAAAAATGTTCAAAATGAATCCTACAGGTTAAAGGTTCATGTAGTCATTGTAGCATTATCCAAAGCAAATCCTTCACAGACCTTTGAACTTGTATCGGCAAAATGAATGCTCTTCTTATATTCCAGCAAATGGAATTTTATTTAGATTTCTAGAAAAGGCTATTTATATAGGTTTCAGTCAAAGTGTCGCACCTCAGCATTAAGTTGCTTTAAAAAAAATGCACTTATTGCTGACATCACCTCCTGCTTCAGGGCAGTATTACCCATCACCAATGATATCAGCTGGACTGCATCCGTCCAGTCTAAATGCTGGACAATATTCCGCACATCTTTAGATAATATCGTCTGTTGATTTGGTGGCAGTTCCATAATAATCTGTGGTAATGGTTTTAACTGTCCACTAGTCATCCAGGCACCCAACAATCCACCAACCGCACCACCTAGGAAAACAAAGCCAAAAAAATTTGAAGATTGTTTATTTTCTACTTTTTAAAAATATTTATTTCTCTTTTTGAAAAAGGAGATTTATTTTTGGCAAGTTCCTGAGTTCCAACAGCCATTAGGTCCCTTGACCAAAAAGATATTGATGAGATGACACCCAGAACAGTGAATACCATCAGGTGATTTAATCATGAAGGGAATCACAGCTAGACATAATCGTATCCTCAAATAGCATCTGCACACAATCACTTTCTGAAATAGTTAAAAGAATGATATAGCACAGAAGGAGGTCATTCAGCCCATCATGTCTGTACTAGCTTCCTGAAGGAGCTTCCCAGTTAGATTCCCACTATGTCTGTTGTTTTCCCATAGCTCTACAATTTTGTTATTTTACTCTTCTGAGCATGGAAAGCAGAAAGCAATTGAATTGCTCTAAACCACCTAAAGAAAATAAGTCAACTCAGCATTAACTAGAGATCAAAATCTTCCTTGTCCATGTGGCTCAATTTCCCAAAATGGTGGATTTATCTACTGAACCATGAGGGGAGCTTATTCATTATGGACTTTGAATTTGTTTCACAATGATCAAAGCTGTGTGGATTTAAATACTACATAAAAAATGTATAAACAGCAAATGGCTGAAATAACTGCATTATACAAAACTCTATTCAACTGTACCATTCACACAACAAGCATGTTGTCAGTCAATTCTAGCATGTTCATCCCATTTTTGCAATGTGTGGAGAAAACCCACACTGTCTCCCTATCGTACCCTACAGAATGATTATGAGTGTACCATGTTCTATATCCTGTAATACAAATGATCTTAAACCTGTAGAAGATATTAAAGCAAGGTTTTCATAAAGAAAAATGGTTAAACTTTTGCATAAGAATTTAGGTTTGTTACGTAATTTGATTACAAAATATTGAAAATGAAATGCATAACTGTCAAATGTGAATTAGTGCATCCTGTAGCAAATAGCAAATTGCAGGTGAACACATATGAACTGAAGGGGACTAAATTAGTTTGGGAAGACTTTGAAAGGAACCTGTGAGTGGAATTAGACCCAGCACTTTCATTGTTAGAAAATTTTGGGATATTTAGTCAGAATTGGAGCACAAATATTGACTGAGTTAACAATGAGATTTAATAAGTTAGAACATATTAGGAATAACAAGTGTCTTTCTGGTTATCATACTTTAAAAGGGAAATGGAATATAAATATTTAGAAAAATAATGCAGATCGGCAATGATCTAATGTATAAAGGGTTTAGTTATAAGGAAATATGAGACAGAAAGTGAACAGAATTGTTATACAGAATCCAGGAAGAGCTAGCCTTTGGATACAAAACTGGCTTGAAGGTAGGAGAGAGGTTGATGGTGGAGGGTTTTTTTTTAAGACTGAAGGCTTGTGACCAGTGATATGCTGCAAGGATCAGTGCTGGGCCCACTGCTTTTTGTGATTTAGGTCGATGATTTGGATGTGAATATAGGCCGAATGCTTTTTAAGTTTGAAGATGACACCAAAATTGGTGGTGTAGTGGACAGGTTATCTCAACGGCACCTTCTTCAGGTGGACCTATAGGCTGAGGAGTGGCAGATGGAATTTAGTTTACATAGATGTGAGGTGTTGCATTTGGAAAGGCAAATCAGGGCAGGACCTATACACTTAATGGTAGAGGGTCCTGCAGAATGTTGGCGAATTAAAAAGACCTCGGGGTGCAGGTTCATAGTTTCTCAAAAGTGGTGTCATAGGTAAACAATGTAGTGAAGAAGGTGTTTGGTACACTTGCCTTTATTGGTCAGTGTATTGAGTATAGGAGTTGGGATGTCATGTTGTGGTTGTACAGGATATTGGTTAGGCCATTTTTGAAATATTACCTTCAATTCTGGTCTCCCTGCTCTCGGGAGGATGCTATGAAACTTGAAAGGGTGCAGAAAAGATTTACAATGATGTTGCTGGGTTTGGGCGGTTTGAGCTACAGGGAGAGGCTGGGGCTATTTTCCCTGGAGCATTGGAGGCTGAGGGGTGACCTTATACAGATTTATAAAATCTTGAAGGGCATGGATAGGGTGAATAGCCAAGGTCTTTATCCCAGGGTAGGGGTAGTCCAAAACTACAGGGCAAGGTTTAAGGTGAGAGGGGAAAGATTTAAAAGGGACCTTAGGGGCAACTTTTTCACACAAAGGATGGCACATGTATGGAATAAGCTGCCAGAGGAAATAGTGGAGGGTGGTACAACTACAACATTTAAAAGGCATCTGGATGGATACATGAAATAGGAAGGGTTTAGAGGGATATGGGCCAAATGCTGGCAAATGAGACTAGGTTAATTTAGGATATCTGGTCGACATGGATGAGGTGGACTGAAGTGTCTGTTTGCGTGCTGTACAGCTCTCGGTACAATATCTCAACTCTAGCTACCCAAAAATTGGAGTTGTCTGAAAACTGCACATTTAGAAACATAACATACAATTTTTATTATGTGAGTTTATAAAAAATAACGTATTTGAGCAATTTGATTTTGCACTGCACAGCTGTGGAGAGGAGCTTCACTGCTTGCACGACGGTCTATTCTCATGCTCCAAGTGACCCCTGACCCCACCTGATATGGCTTGGCCCGAACGGTCCACAGCCTGAGCCATCTGACCTGGAATCCAGCAAGATCAAAAATCTTACATGGCCACAATTCTGAGGTTGCCGGTGTTGTGACATACTGTTTATACCCAGAATTTCAATGAAGCAAACTTTGTGCAAACAACTACATTCTAAAATGAGGTGCATAGGACCCCAATTTGCATAATGTTTAAAGGGACATAACATCTGAAACACATTGGAACTCTCATCAGTAAACTCCCGTAAAGATGGGGTCAACTGGAAAATCCAACAATTGTGCTTTGGGGCCAGTTTAAGTCTCTGACATTGACTTAAGTTTCAATAATGCTTCTTGGGATTCTGGTAAAGCAGAATTACAGCTCACTTCCAAATGCTATCAGGGCATTTAAAGTGAATAGTGTAGTATGAGAAGGATGCTACATAATATTCTAGGTTGGCAGGGATACAGGTCTTAATTCTCCAAGAGAGCTTTGTGTACCAGGTGGTATTTTGTTTGCAACACTCCAGCAACTTTCTTGACAATTTTGTGGAGTTACTAGATTTACTGAATTAGATTACACAACTTGCCAATGTGGATTGCCAGACCATAATTAGTTTGGCAGCCTAATGGTTAAAACCAGCTGTGATATCTCTCCAGTTTCCCAAAGAAATTGTGTCATTTGCTACTTCTATTTACAATGTACTTGTACATGTTTCATCCATTAAGAAATGTTATGAATGCCAGAATTTCACAAATCCCTAAAGCACATGTTTCTCAAGTACTTTATTCTTTCCTTTATAAATAGATTTGGTGGTAATGAAGGTACTATTTGGTAAGTTATGGTGAGTGATAGCACTACACAAATGCTCAATGTGCTCTCACAAAATCTCCCAACCACAGTATTTAAATTGAGGCATTAATCCACTTATTCCAAAGGATGACTATTTCTGTATGTTCACTAACTTCCATTAACTTCATTGTCATTTTCAAACTCTTATTTTAAGGTCAATAGCAAAAACTTACCAACTGCTATTCCTGGAGGACCACCGACCAAGCCTCCTGCAAATGCTATTGCACCAGCCAGAAGTGCCCCTTTTCCAGAGCTTTTCACTGCTACTTGCAGCTTCTCCACCTCTGAAATGTGGCACACTAAGCGCATCACATCATCAATATGCACAGGCATCTCAGTATCTAAAGAAATCACATGGAACTTTGTCAACTACAACAAAATATCATTATAAGCAGAAATCTTTGTAGAAGCAATAATTTATAAAATACACATTTTCTGAATATTTGATTACTACATTGTCTTTTCAGTAGGATTAGACCTCTCAGCTGTTATTGTCAGCAATTTGTCTAACTGTTCCTGTACAGCTATGTCAGAGGGCATTTTGTCTATTGCCTTTAAATAGTAGCAAGGAAACCATGGGTTGACTGCTAATGCCTATTTTAGAATATGCAGTAATTACTAAAAGGCTGTTTGGCTTGGGGAATATATTGAAAACTATTGACATAGAAACACAAGAAGCAGCCTCAAGTTGATATAATATAATTGATTTTAGACATCCAGCAGATGTAAAGATATAACCGATGTAAGAACATTCTTAGAATGAGAAGAGACATGCTTACACATAACCAAAAAAAATTCAAGACAAATCACTTTGAAATCTTATAACTATTGACATGTTGTTTTCCCATGCTGCTGTAAAGTGTAACCGCTGTCTTTTAACTCTACCTCTGATATCAGAATAGGTAACGATTATTATAACTTTGCATGTTACTCTCTAAATTAATGAAATTTCATTGTGTTATGACTTAGGTAGAGACTAGGAATACTGTCATTATTTTTAGAATCTGAAAACACAGGTATTTATTGAAAGAATGTAGCCACTACACTGTTTAAAACAAAAGTTCATTACACAAAATTCAGCAAACTTCAATAGTAATAAAACTATTTTAACTCGTGAGTTAAGACAAAATACATTAAAATTGCAACAAAGAGTTACTTCCACACTAAACTGAACTTCAAGTTGAATTTCCTTCTACACCCAATGACTCAAAAAGACCAAGCAAAACAAAAGAAACTAACCATGAATTGGGAGGCTCACCATTTGGTCTGAAAGCTGTTCAAGGACTTGTATAAAGGTCAAGATTTCTTGTGCCTCTGCTTACTTCTGGTAAGGTTGACCCTTTAAATTTCCTTCGACCCACCCCTCAGTTGAACGTCCCAGTTAAGTATAGGTGTCAGTATCATTTTAATCATGCTCACCACGTCAGAACTGTCTTGGTGTGATGTTCTTTGTTCTGGAGTCTTGCAGAAAGAAACTCTCAACACCTCCTTCTCTCCTCAGCTTGGCCATCCAAAGTCCAACTCATTCAGTTAGAGGTTTTCAAACTTATTCAGCCTAGACACTTTTCTGAATCCTGTTAGAAAGTGATGTTCCCTGCATTCAGCTTGTTCTGAAAGTACAACCCAAGCTTTCTGAACACAGGACCACACCCAAGAATCTGCTCGTCTTTTTAGTTATATCTTTGGTTGACACTGTTTATCCCTCCAAAACAACTTGGTCACACGCACCAGTCACTGGAATGTTGCCTTGTGCAAGAAACCTTCCATCAGAGAAAAACAGATCTTAAAAAAAAGGGACTATCATCCCGGTTAAAAATATAATCGGTCCCAAAAAGCATATGGGCCCAATTATAATTGTTATTTTCAATTTCTTTTGCAGGTATATTTTCTGAAACCTGACCACCAAAGTTAGGGTTCCTTCTGATTAGACATATTTATTTTAACATCATAAAACTCTGTGGGCCTAAAAGTGATATTTTCAGAAAATACTGCAGTTCCAATGATGGCTGCAAGAATTTGGAATACAAATCATTAGCAGTGGAGTTATAAAATATTCACTAAACTTAGAGGAATCCAGCAACTCTGAAAAACTATAATAGACCATTCATGAAGCTGTGTGGAATCTATGACATGCTGACCAGGTTGACTACACTCAACCAGGTTACATGTCAGTCACAGCCTGGAAGAAGCCAAAGACATAAAAGATGGGGGTGTGATGCATGCCGTTCTATAATAAAGGTTAAGCATGGATATTTGATTGGGAAAAGTTGGCGTTACATGGGTCTGGTGCAGTGTGTGAGGCTAATACTGCACCTGATTGGATATTGCTCTTAAGATAAATTCGCTAACCTCGACTACTTGTGTTAAGTTGTTAAACCTTTTTTTTAATGGTAGCTTTTCCGTGTTCTCAGCACTAAACTCTGAACATTGACCCTGATGGCTGTTTTCTCTTCTGAAAATTTATGTGGAGGCCTCCAATCTCCCTTTGCACCTTCCAAGCATCCAGTGTAAGATCCCAGAACCTTGGATAGAGTACAGTGTGCCTCATGTTTGTGGTTAATCACTTTTTTCATGTCCTCCCACCCCTGGCTACACACAGCAGCAGCATCTCTTCAACAGCTCAGTCATTCTGGTGATGAGCAGGCATCAGCACCAGGTTAGTATGTGGCCAGGATCCCACTGAACAGATAGATATAGGTTCAGCATACATTGTGAAGCCTGTTGCTGTTTTGGCCCTCTTTACCAGCTTTACCCATACACGTTGGTTTCACTTTAAACAGAAAGCATTTTTGTTAATTTCAGTCCACGACTGTCTCCCCACTTCCTTTCGATACCTTCAATACGACACAATCTTTTCAAATTCATTGCAGTTGCTCAGCTCGCATGCTTTGTCACTGTTCCTTATTTGACGTGTAAACAGCAGGGCCGGGAATCCCGCTTTCCCAACAGGGATACGTAAACGGGAAACACTACCCCACTGTGAACTGATAAATGAAACCGCACACCACTGTACCTGATTTAGGATCGCTCACTTTCTCCCTTACACAGGTCAATGCAACCTCCAGGCCGGTTCCAGGTTTCCAATATTGGGAATATGGGAGCGGTCTGCAGAAGAGTTTCTATCGCGTGATTTCCCTGTACTTGTGGAAAGTGACAAAGATAATTGAACTGTAGACTCAGCGCAATGTGCTGCAAGCGCCTACGGCCAACAACACTAGCTTATATCAATATAGCGCCTCCACAGCACGTTATTAGTAGAATGTTTTGCGAGAGACGGGGCGGTGCTGGACCTAATTTTACGGAAAACGTAGCGAGGCATGTGGTACTGGGGGAATCATTTTAGTAATATTGGCATAATTCAGCAAGATTTAAAGTAATTGTGGAGAAGGGCAAAGAGGGACTGGACATAAAAGTTCTGAATAGGGAAAGGCTTTTTGATAAGACATGTTCTGGCCAATGTGCATTGGGAGCAGCTACTTGCAGGGAGAATCTACAACAGAGCAGTAGTAGACACTCAAAAGGGTAATAATGAGACTGTAGGGCCACCATGTTCCCATAAAGATGAAGGGTGGGCCCAAGTCTCGAAAACGCTGTATGTCAAGTGGTGTACAGGATTGGAGGAGAAGGAAGCTTCTGGTACCTAGAAGATGCCCTAGAGAAGTGTAGTAAGTTCAGGGGGGCTATTTAAAAAGGAAATTAGGACAGCATAAAGGGAACATGAGAAAAACACTGGTGGGTAACATTAAGAAAAATCCAAAGGATTTTTAAAAGTATATTGGGGACAAGAGAACAATGAGGGTAAGAGTGGGGCCTGTTGAGGTCCAAAGTGGCAATGTGTCTCAATCCAGAAGACATAGCTGATGTTTTAAAAAGTACTTTGCTTCTATACTCGCTGTACAAAAGGATGATGTAGGTCTAGAAATCTGGGAAAGGGATTGTGTATGCCTGCACTGAGAGAGAGAGAGGAGGCATTAATGATTTCAGCAGGTTTGAAAGTGAATAAATCTGTAGGGTCAGATGAGATGCTTTCCAGGCTGCTCTGGGAGGCAAGAGAAGAGATTGCAGGGGCTCAGACCATAATTTTCAAATCCTTTTTGGTCACGGTGGTGGGCAGGTGCCAGAGGCCTACAGGACAGCTAATAAAGCAGTTCTGAGGAAGGGTCACCGGACCCGAAATGTTAAATCTGTTTTCTCCTTCACAGATGTTGCCAGACCTGCTGAGCTTTTCCAGCAACTTTGTTTTTGTTCCTGATTTACAGCATCCACGGTTCTTCTGGTTTTTAGCTAATATACTATTATTTAAGAAAGGAAGTAGGGATAAACCAGGAAACTAAAGGCCAGTGAGTCTAATGTGGGCTTTTAAGAAAACTTTGAAAGCACAGAATTGATCTTCGCATGGAAAAGCAAGGATTAATCAAGTATAGTCAGCATAGCTGTGTAATGGGATAATCGTGTCTAACAAATATGATATAATTTTCTGAAGAGATGACAAGTTGTGCAGATCGGGGTAGTGCAGTTGATGGCTTTTGACAAGGTCTTGCATGGTAGACTGTTTAAGAAGTTAAGAGCCCATTGAATGCAAAGCAATTGGGCAAATTGGATCTGAAATTGGCTTAATTGCTGGAAGTAGATGGTGGCGGTTGAGGCATGCTTGTCACTGGAAGCCTGTGTCCAGTTGCACGCCACAGGGTTCAGCATTAGGTACTTTGCTGTTTGTTGTGTAAAAGAATGATTAGGTATGAATGTAGGAGGTATGATCAGTAAGTTCACAGTTGACACAAAAATTGGTGATGTGGTAAATAGTGAGGAGGAAAGCCTTAGACTACAAGATGATATGGACCTGAAAAGTGTAAGGTGATACATTTTGGAAGGACCAACAAGGCCAGGGAGTATGTATTGAATGTTAGGTTCCTTAAAAGTACAACGGTTTAGAGGAATCTTGGCGAAAAAGTCCATAGATCCTTGAAGGCAACAAGCCAAGCGTATAAGGTGGCTAAGGAGACATAGGATACTTGCCTTTATTAATAAAGGCATTGCTTACAAGAGCAAGGATGTTATTGTTACAGCTGTATAGGATATTAATTAGGGTACTGCTAGAGTATAGTATTCAGTTCTGGTTGTCACACTATAGGAAGAATGTGACTGCACTATAGAGGGTGCAGAAGAGATTCAGCAGGATGTTGCTTGGCTGAAGTGATTCAGCTATGAAGGGACACTGGATATGCTGGGATTGTTTTCCGTAGAGCAGGGAAGCAGAGGGGAAGTCTGATTGAAGTGTACAAAGTTCTGAGGGGCACAGACAAGCTAGATGGGGAGACACTTATCCTCTAGCAGAAGGATCAACAACCAGGTGGCATAATTTTAAGGTAAGGAGTAGAAGATTAAGCGACGATTGGAGGAAATAATTTTTCACCCAGAAAGTTGTGGATACCTGGAATTCACTGCTAAAAAGCTGGTTGAGGAGGGAACCATCAAGATATTTAAGAACTATTTAGATGGGGACTTTTTTGAAATGTGACAGCATACAAGGCTACAAGCCAACTGCTGGAAAATGAGATTAGAATAGACAGATAAAACAAGGAACTGCAGATGCTGGACATCTGAAACATGCATGTGTCTATTGCAGGATGGTGATCCATTATGTTTGGTTTGAAGGTCCTTAATGACAGCACAGACGAACAACTTCAAAATTGAGAAAGAAACTCTTGTTTCATTTTTCCAGAAACAAGGATTTCATACATCCCTGTTCTGCAAAAATTTCATTGTCTATACCAACTGCAAACTGTTAGAAATGATCTGTTGAAAACCTCTCACAAGTGCAACTCCACGTCTCCAATATCTACTTATGAATATCCAAGGGTACGACTTAGAAATACAATACAAACTAGATCACAGCTAATTATTTCTGATGCCCTTAGATGACTTCCAAACTCTGCTAAGAACAAATATATTCCTTTAAACCTACAAGTGGTTATTATTGAATCTGAACTGGAAGAGAGTTTCCACATCAATCTTGTACATTTTAGATTTAGTTAAGCAGCGAATGATGACCAACTGCAACAACTTAAAAATATTATCATTAGTGGGTAGCCTTAATGTATCTATCAGGTCCAAGTGAACTTGCTCCTTCTGGTCATTCATAGACAAACTAGGAGTCTCTAGGAAAATCTTCTTTTATTTCTTTTATTCATTCACGAGATGTGAGCATTGCTGGCTAGGCAGCATTTATAGCCGAACCCTAATTTCCCAGAGGGCAGTCAAGAGTCAACCACATTGTTGTGGGTCTGGAGGCACATGTAGGCCAGACCAGGTGAGGATGGCAGTTTCCTTTCCTGAAGGGCATTACTGAACCACGTGGGTTTTTCCCGACAATTGGCAATGGATTCATGATTAGACTCTTAATTCCAAATTTTTATTGAAATCAAATTCTGCCATTTTCCATGACAGGATTTGAACTCGGGTCGCTAGAGCATTTTCTGGGTCTCTAGATTAGCAGTCCAGTGAAAATACCACTAGACCATCATCTCCCATGAAGGAAATAATCTTCCAACCAGTTCATAATTCCACAAGCTCTATATCAAAACATGCTAGGCCACATCACATAGGTCATGTAGTTGGAGAAAAAAACAAGAGATTGGCACATGGATCCCGTGAGTTGCTCTGGGAACAGTACATGGTAAGATAAGCCAAGAATTAGACATAATACTCATCATGAGGGCTGAAATGTTGACTAAATAATTGATATTTGGTGTTTGATAAGGTTTGGCAAGAAAGACTGCTCAGTTTCATGGCAAAAATTGCTCCACCATGGTCAAAGCATTTTGTACTTAACCAAAAATCAGTAAAATTCAATCCATAGGTTTGAAGCAAGATGCCAAGTAGTTGGTTCCAACATTGGTCATCTGATGTTGTCACAAGCAATGTTCAAGTGCTGAAAAGACATAAGGGACGTATCTGAACTGCTGTTTTTCAACTACCCATCACACAGGATGATATCGTGGAAACAGAAGATATCATGCCAGACAACAACCACACACCCGTGACAATTAATAAATTTCCATACTGCTGATAGGCAGCACACTGCAGAGTAAAGCTATGCAGTCAACTCATGGGCTGAGTGTTGCCATTTATTTTTGCTGCACAATTGGAAAGGACATGGATGACAGAGGCAATGTTGCACTCTGCTTTGCTGATAGTCATGGAGTTGTACAACATGGAAACAGACCCTTCAGCCCAAATATCCTAACCAGATATCCTAAATTAATCTAGTCCCATTTGCTAGCATTTGGTCCATATCCCTCTAAACCCTTCCTATTCATGTACCCATACAAATGCCTTTTAAATGTTATAATTGTACCAGCCTCAACCACTTCCTCTGGCAGTTCATTCCATATACAAACTATCTTCTGCATAAAAAAGTTGCCCTCAAGTCCCATTTAAATCTTTCCCCTCTCACCCTAAACCTATGCCCTCTAGTTTTAGACTCCCCTACCCTGGGGAAAAGACCTTTGCCATTCACTCTATCTGTGCCTGTCATGATTTTATAAACTTCTATAAGGTCACCCATCAACCTCCGATGCTCCAGGGAAAATAGCTGCAGCCTATTCAGTCTCTCCCTATAGATTAAACCCTCCAAACCTGGCAAGATCCTTGTAAATGCTTTCTGAAACACTTTCAAGTTATGCAACATCCTATAGCAGGGAGACCAGAATTGCAAGCAGTATCCCAAAAGTGGCCTAAACAATGTCTTTACAGCCACAAAATGACTTCCCAGCTCCTATACTCAATGCACTGACATACCATGCACTTCCTTCATATCCTGTCGACCTGAGACTCCACTTTCAACGGACTATGAACCTAAACTCCCAGGTGTCTGTTCAGCAACACTCCCCAGGACCTTACCATTAAATGTATAAGTCCTGCCCCGATTTGCCTTTCCAAAATGCAGCACCTCACATTTAACTAATTAAACTCCATCTGCCACTCCCCAGCCTATTGGCCCATCTGATTAAGATCCTGATGTACTCTGAGGTAATCTTCTTCAGTGTCCACTATACCAACAATTTTGGTGTCATCTGCAAACTTACTAACCATACCTCCTATGTTCACATCCAAATCATTTATATAAATGACAGAAAGCAATGGAACCAGCACTAATCCTTGTGGCACACCATTGGTCACAGACCTTCAGTCTGAAAAGCAACCCTCTACCACCACCCTTTGCCTCCTACCTTACAGCCAGTG